CGAGCCGAGATGGCATGCAGACGTGACGTCCGCGCTTTCATCGGTGCCGTCTTCGACGACATGGGAATCGGCCTGGCGCGAGCAGGCTTGGCCTGGGACTGCGTGGAGGAGTGCGTGGAGCACGTCGTGCCTGGCTCCGGGGCCATGATCTTCGGCCACTTGGAGGACGCGAAGGGCGCGCAGATGACCGCGCCGACCTGGCAGCGCCCCGACATCCTCGAAGCTCTGCTTCATGTGTCCTGCAGATGTTTTCAGTTGCCAGACGTTCGTGCCGCGCGTCTGATACGCGGCCAGAGATCGCTTTGGCGACTGACCGGGCTGCGTCCGCAGCTTGGCTATCTGGCGCATCCCATCGGAACCCGAGCGACGCCCCGGCAGACATACCTCAACGGCGTCAAGTTCGTCACCCATCAGTTTGTCGGCGAGCAGTGGAAGAAAACTAGCATCATCCAGCTCATCTTGGGTGACAAGCCCTTGCTGGCAACAGACGCTGGACAAGACCCAGGCGGTTCGTTCGATGGTTGTGCCATCGGCGTTCCCGACGACGCCGCCAGCGCCGCCGAGGAAGGTTCACCATCAGCCCTGTCGGCAATCCCCGAGGAGACCGACAGCGACTTCTCGGGCCACGTCCAACGGGTGACGTTGGCAGCCCGGAGCTCGAGGTGCTGGAGAGCGTCGACAGTCAGCATTATCTACGCCAATGTCGAGCACGCCGCGTCCGACCTTGGCCGCATGCCCAGCGGGTGGCCCCAGTGCCTCGAGACGCTGCGCCAGCGTCGGAGCATCTACGCGCAGCGCCACTACAAATCACCTGCGTGGGGCCTCATCGGACAACTACGCCGCGCGAGAGGAGGGGGGCGAAGGGGGGGCGGGGGGGACGGAGATGTATCTTGACCCACGGGAGCGCGAAGCATTCTTGAGCTTGGAAGAGGAAGCGTCTGGCGACTGCGTCGGTAGCATTCATGCGGCCTTGAAGATCTCGGTAATCAAGCGCGACGCCGACATTCTGACCGATGAGCAGGCGTCGAGACCGTCGACGGAGGGCGCAGCGGCCATCCTCGAAGAGGTCACCATCGGGGCCGCGTGCAAATCTTTCGCGGGGCAACCGCTCAAGGGCGCCCGAAACGCCGTGGAATGCGGACGCGTCTTCAAGTGGCAGCACTGCAGGGGGCGGCGCGGCAAGTCTGTTCGGATCATCTGTCGCCGCGTGTCGCGGAGGGGCGCCCGCGACGCGGGCGCCGTGGCCCTGGGGCCGCCCGCTGAGAGCGCCCGCTGTCCTCGCAGGCGGCGCGTCGCACAGGCCGGGTGCGCGCCGCCGTGGACGTCGAGAAGGCGTTCCTGCAAGGCGCCGCCTACGCCGAAATTCTGGAGCGAGGTGGAGCACCCCGCGAGGTCAACTTCACCCTGCCGCCCGGCAATGCAACCATCTTGCGGCATGTGTCTGGCCACGAGAGCTACGGCGAGCGGACCGCGCGCCTGCGCCGCGTAAAGCTTGGCGCAGGCTGCAAGGGCGCGCCCCGAGCTTTCTCCACGAAGATCGCCTGGGCCACGCGCGCTCCAGAGCGCGGTGCCGAACCTGCCGGGTGGAGCCCGGAGCGCGAGGTCAAGCATGGGGCGCCTGGTGGGGTGGCGGGCGGGGGATCCAACGCGGCCGCCCCCCTGCTTGCCCTCCGCCCTGCCCCGCCGCGCCCGATCAGAACATGAAAAAACGCATAAACGCGAAGGGTTTCATTGGTTCTACGCCGGAAAGGGGCGTCGTTGAGAGGGCGCCTGGCACGGGCGCGGGGATCGGGGTGGCGTCGGTGCGTGCAGCTGGCGGATTGCGTGGCATGTGCGCTTAGCTGGTCGCATGTGTTCGGGACGCGTGACGGGTGGAAAGGCCGCTCACCGGCAGCTGGCAGTCCTCTGCCCGCGGGCCAGAACAAATCGTCGCGCGCTCGCAACGGGGCGTGGGAAATGGGGTTGGGAAGAGAGCGCGAGTCTCATTCCCAAGAAGTTCTTTCGATGGGCAGCAAATAATTCTTTTTCTGTTCATCTGCCGCACGGCCATTCGAACGAACGAACAACTGTCTCGGCGCGCAGCGTTAGCTTCGCCTGCGCGCATCCAGGCTCCCTTCCGTCGCTTCCTTCGCTTCTTTCTCGCCCTCCTGTTATGTTTCCTCTCCCCCTGCTTTGCCGTGTCCCGCCCCCCCCCCCCCCATCCTTTCCAGCTCGGAGCTGTCGCCGCGCGCGAAGAGCGCAACCCAAACGGGGTTGCTTCAATGCCTTTGTGTACCACGAAGTCTCGCGCAATTCCTTCGCGCACGGTCTGGTTGCACTGCCGACGCGGGGGGCGCGCGAAGGAATTCCCTTTGCGTGCGATCGTTTTCCGCCGCCCCCACAAGAGCACGCGCGATGCCTCTGCGTAGAGCTTGATTTCCCGCCTCGAGGAGCGCACGGGGCCCGGCGCTACAATCGCAAGGCCGCGGCGCCTGGCAGTGCGATGCAGCTGCGCCGGATACCACGCCCAAAACGATCCTACGTGGATTTCGGCACTTCTGCTGAAATCGCGCTGGCAGCTGGCCAGCCACGTCGCCGGCCTCGCATGCCCGCGCGCGCCGCTGCGTTCTGCTGCCGCGACGCCACATCGAGGGCTTTTTCGGCATAATGAAAAGTGATTATGACGATTTCACCATCTGCGGAGTACACCAGCACCGCAGAGCCGAAGGCGCCGCGACGCTCGACCAGGGCGAGTGCATCGACGCCATGATGCCGACCAGGCGCGTCGACCTGTCCAAAGCCAAGGCTGACGAGCTGGCCGGAGGTCAGCTCCCAGACATTTGTTTCCCTCCCGGGGGCAGCGGCCTGCTCGTCCAGCGCCGCGTCGCCGCGTGCATCGTCGCGCTGCATGGAGTCAAGAACACGCTGCGCATCCGACGCGTGGGCCAGCTCAACTCGGCCGTTCTGGCCACGCAGAAGGCGCGCATTACATTTCCAACTATGGAGCACGCGGGCGACTCAGCGCACGCGGCGACGGGATGTTCAAGAGTGAGAAGGAGACGGGGTGCGGCATTAGGGAAGTCGTCTACGTGCGCCTCGGCAAGCGCCGCTGCGCCAGCAACTAGGCGTGCCACCCGTTGGACGCAGTGGGCCGATCGCACAAGCTGGCGTGCAGATCCTCGTTCGGCCCGGAGCTGCTCGCAGCATGCCGCGCAGCCGACGGACTGCAGGCGCACATCTTCACGTTGCACGAGATGGCGCACGGCTGTGGGAGGAGGGAGGTTACGCTATCCCTGCAGATCTCGTAGTCGACGCCACCCCCGTCTTCCGCGCCCTTGCGCCCTGCTCATGGGCCCGGCGCGGCCTCCCTCCGCGAACTGCATGGCGGGCCACGAGTGGTGGTTCGCTGACCAGCTGCGCACCGAGCTGATCGAGGTCCTCCTCTGGTGCGATACTCGGGACGCGCGGGCCGACCCCGTAGCCAAGGGCAGCATGGCCCGGGAGTTTATCCCCAAAGTGATGGACGGCCGTACCAATTATGACCATGATGCGGCCAAGTTTGGCGACGAGAAGCAGAAGGCCGCCCCCAGCTTATAGCGCATCTCGTTCGCCCAACAGTGATGAGCGTCCCTTCTGACAGCGTCGCAAGGTCGACCTCCGTATCGTCCAGATTGTGGGCATGGGCGAGAGCAATCACGCAGTCGAGCAGACGCGTGAGCTCTTCTGTAGTTAACTGTGTAAGTTAAGCAGCAGCCATGTAGTTGTGCCCCTTCAGTGATCTCTCGCTCGCAGCAGGCTTGGCATTGTTTTGTTTATGATTGCGCGGTCAGGAAAGCATTCCATCTGTCCTGCGCGCGGTCACTATAGCGCCACTGGAATCTGCGTGTTCATACAAATTCGGTCCGTCGGGCACCACCTGCTGCATTTCAATGGTCCATTGGCAGCGAGTTCACAACGGACCTGTTTGAATTCCATTCTCGAAAGGGACCCACCGTGCATCTTTAACCCCTCGCCTCGCCTGCGCTTGCTTCTTTGCATCCGCCGCCGTTTGGGCCCCAGGGCAGCGTTCTAGCGCGCCCGCCTTCGTCTCACCCTAGTCACTGCTCATTTCGCGCATCCCGCCTTCAGGAAACGCTTCGCCTTTTCCGACACCACCTGTTACATTTATTTGTCTAGTTCCTGCCCAGCTCCTCCTTTCTTATGTTGCGCATGGCGCGATTGTTTTCTTCGGAGCTCCGTCGCTAGGACACGCGTCCGTAAACAGAAAAAGAAATCAACACAGTGGGACGGGATGGCAGATGTGGCGCGAGAGCGCCTGGCTTGTCTTTCCCCTCCCCCCTTCCTCCCCTGAGATCCGACGGCGCGCCAGAATGCAACACGTCGAGAGATAGCGACCAGAACTCTCGACACAATTGGTCTGCGCCATGTTTCAAGACGGATCGATATGTGCGGGCCCCGCGGCCCGAAATTTGGCCAAAATGCCCTGCGCCGAAAAAGCGAGACGCCAGTATCTCGTGTGGGCCCGCGCCCCCCCCCACTGTCCACCCGATCCAATATCTCACCTCTCGCCGTCCCTCCGCCCTCCTCCCCCTTCCCCTCTCTCCTCGGCCCCTCCTCCCTCCCCCCCTTCCCCCCCTTCCTCCTCCTCCTTTTTCCTGTCTCCTCCCTCTTCTTCCTTCGTCAGCTGTCACGCATCCAGGCGCGGGAGGCTGCCCAGCACAACGCCCCCGCTGTTTCAGCCGACTGTGGTCTTTTCGGTCCCTCTCATTGGCTTGCAGAGGAGGTCCACAGTTCCCTTGCCACCCCTCCTTCCCAGGGCTGGACCTTGACCGTGTTTTCGGCGATTTCGTGGGCCCTTTCTGCTTCGATTTCGTTTTTTGCGGTGCACGCGGACTCGAGGCAAGAGCGAGGGACAACGAAAGCAGGAACGACAACGAAAAACACCGCTTAGGTTCCGCCCTGCTCCTGCCCTCGCGCCGCCGCCCTCCACGGCCAGCTCCGCCCGTGCTCCGCGCGCCGAGGTCTCCAGCCTGGGCGACCTCCTGGCCTGCCCCGGGCAGCGCCCCGCGGCGGGCGCCTCGTGGACGTGCGGGCCCGCTCCGGACGCCCCCGCGAGGCGCGCCGCCCTCGTCGTCGTCCTCGCATTCGTCGTCGGCGTCGCCGCCGCCGCCGCTGTCGTCGTCGTCGTCGGCGTCCTCGGCCTCGTCCTCGGCCTCGGCCTCGGCCTCGGCCTCGTCGTCGCCGTCGTCGTCGCTATTGTCGGGTGCGTCGCCCGCCCTCCCCGGCAAAAGTCGTAAAGCAAAAAGCGCGACACAAGGTGTTTCTGTTGCCGTTCGCGTTGATTCTGGACGGGCTCCCTCTCTCGGGATGCGTTCCAGCAGGTGGCCCTTGCCGAAAGCGTTCTGGGGTTGCCTAGATCCTGAACGGCCGCCGGAGACACGAGTCATATAGCCCCAAAAACCACACATGCTCGCGCCGAAACAGAAGATCACGACGAACAGTTTTCGGCCGCTTTCGGCGTCGAGGCGCGGGCGAGAGACAGATCCGTATCCACGGCCTCGCGGGCCGGGCCCGTGGGCCGCGACCCCGTGAACACGGGCCGTTTTTTTTTCGCGGGTGCCCTGCGCAGCGCGTCTCCGTGCGACCGCACATTCGCGGGATCGCGCTCCAGAGTCCAGACCGCGAGGGCGCGGATGCGGATGTGTTCGCCGCTCGTGATCGACGTCATCGTCGCTGTCACCTGCCCTCCCTAACAAAAATTGCCAAACAAAAATCACGACGACAGTTTGGGCCATCTTCGGCCTCTGAGGGGCCCTGGCTGGGCCTCGGGAGCGCCAAACATTGATTGTCGATGGAACACCAACCGTGGGGAAAGGGTCGGGGCTTCAAGGGATCCCGTGCGGAATCAGTGAGTGCATCGGATGTGTGGGTCTGCCTCGTGCTCGTGCTCTCCTCCGCCCTGTGGACTCTTCCCTCTCCCTCCCTCCTTCCTACGCGGCGCTCCCCAGGAGAGGGGGCATCGGGGCTCAAGGGACGTGAGTCAACACAAACGGGGGTCAGTCGGAGCGGCGGATTTTGCAGGATCCTGCAGAGCCAGGGGTGCATTGACCCGGGCTTGGGTGCAGGATCCTGCAGGATCCTGCAGGGACCTGCAAAGCCCAACTGATCCTGGTCTGGATTGTCCCGGGTCAGTAGATCCCCGAGGGTACGGAGGGCGAATTTTCCGATGTCAGTGTCACTCGGATGCAACTGTCTCAGCTGCCCCCTCCTCGTCATCCTTCGTCCCACCCCTGCACTCTGTCCTCCCTTCCTCCCTCCTCTCCCTCGTCTCCCCCTCCCGCTCATTTCCTCATTATCCTCGTCCTTCTCCTCCCACCTCTCCCTCCTCTACCCGCCTCTCCCTCCTCCCTCTTACTCCCTCTAGAGAATCGCCCAGTGCCGAATCCAGCGTTGCATCCTCAACCTCATCCCTCCTCCTTCTCCCTCCTCCGCCTTCTCTATAGCCTGTAGCATTCACCCTCGCGTCCCCTCTCCCTGCACCCCCCTCCTCGTTTTCCTCTCTCCCCCCTTCCACAGTTGAACCATATGAATAATAGTATCCCTCCTCCCCTGAAGTTGTCCAGAAGGTCAGGATTCCAACGTTTGTTATTTTCTCATGGCGTGTTACAATCCCGTTGTTTTCGGTGTTTCATATTGGTGCTTCCGCTGCAGCGTTGGCCTCATTCTCGGATCGGCGTGTTGCTCCCGTCTTCAGAATGGCGCTCTCGCCCCAGCGTGGGCCACTTTTCTGAATTTGGGTCTTGCGCCATTGTGGTCCTCCGCTTTCCGCCGGTCTTCTTGTTCCTCCCGCTCCTTCTACTCCAGTTCCTGCAATTGCTGTTCGTCTAATTGCTGTTCGTCTCGACCCAGCGCGGGCCACTTTTTCTGAATCCGAATATTTCTTCATCGTTGTCGCCCCCCTCATTTCCCCTCCGCATTTCCCTGGTCCTCCTTTCCCTCCCGATCCTTCCGCTTCAGTTCCTGCTGCTGCTGTTCGTACTCATCCTCTTTCCTCCCGCTCATCCTCCTTTTCACCCGCCACCTCCTCCTCCTGTGCCCGCAGCTCCCTTTTCCGACTGCGCATCACAGGAAGTGGGCTTTCTGTGGCAGCCGCAGCTGGGCTATGATCAGCGGCCGCAGGGCAGGCTGGCGGCCGTCTTGCACGGCATGGTTCGGCAGGAGCTGGCTGGGCACGGGAGCGGTATTTGCGCTGATCCTGGTGTCCACGCTGGCGAGGCCAGCCGCCTCCCTGAGGGCGTGCCGCGACAGCCCAGCTGCCTGGGCGGACCTGCTCGGCGCCGCCTGCGCCGACTACTCCCGGGGCCGCCTCTGCACGCCGAGCGGGGGGCGCGGCCCCGGCTGGACCGACGCCAACGGGAGCTTCGCGTCGAGGGTCGCTGGAGCCACGCCCCCCGCCAGCGAGGCGTGCTGCGCTTGTGGGGGAGGCGCCGCCGTGCCGCCGGACCTCGGGAGCGCAGAGTGGCGCCGCCTGTTGATCGAGACCTCCACGGAGACCTCCACCACAGAGACCTCCGCCTCCTCCGTGACCTCCGCCAGCTCCGTGACGCCCGGCACGGCCAGCAGTGGGAGCAGGACCTCCGCGAGCGTGACCACGACCGGCAGCTCAAGCCTAACCGCGTCCTCCGCCACCGCATCCTCCACGTCCACCTCTGGTACTGGCTCCTCGAGCACCTCTGACACGACGAGCAGCATGACAGCGAGCACGTACACCTTCACCACTGGGACTCTCATTAACAACACATGCCCCACGGCGGAGAATGTTATGGCGGGGCAGATGGACGTAATGCTGTGCACTACGTCGACCGCGACGGTCGTGACATCCGCGACGGCCTCGGAGAGTTCCACGCGGAGCTCGGTCACGATGACGACCGGGACCAAGACAACCCAGTCGTCCACTGTGACTTTGATCACTGTCACCACAGAGTCGGTGAGCACGACGTCGATGTCTGCAATCCTCACTTCTTCCACGGCTTCGACGACGTCGAAAACCTCGGCGAAGGCCACGCCGACGAGCACCTCCACCACGCGGTCGTCCTCAACCGGCTCGAGCACCACGCAGTCCAGCACTACGGGGTCGCCTACCCGAGTCTCCACCACCTCGGGCTCGAACACCACGGTCTCGAGCGCCACGGCCTTGATCAGCACGACGTTTGCGTCTACGGGCACGAGCACTCTGACGTCGACGTCGGTGACGAGCACTGCCACGGCGATCACCAGCCAGACACAGGTCAGAACGACCACATCCGGCGGCTCGCGTACCCACACGACCAGTGCGTCCTTGACCAGCTCGATTTCTCCTACAACGAACACTGTTACGGATACCAGCACGGTGAGCTCGACCACAGTTGCTGTCCCATGCCCAGGCTGCAAGTTGGTCCCCACCTTCGGCTGCGACGAGGTCGCTGCTGGAAAGTCGTGCGCAGCCTCTGCGTTGACCAGCCCTTGCATCACCGACACTGGTGGGCCTTTATTGACGTGCCCAGTTGATAATACTGATGCTTCGCTGCCGCCTACAGCTCTATCGGCGTACCCGTACGTCCAGTGCAAGGTCTGCAGCATCATCGCGATGACCCCAGACGAGGACACCCGCCCAGGCTGGTACACGGGAGTGCTGCGTTTTGGCCCCAATCAGATGGAGGGTATCATCGATGAAAGTCCGATTTCAGAATACCGCGTGTACTTCGCTGACAACGAAGGTGTTCGGGTCGGCCGTGTCCTTGCAGTTGTGCCTGTGGTCGACAACTTTCCAGCTACCTCCTGCTGCGATCCAGGCAAGTACACTGTACATCTCTCCTGCGTACAGACAACGTCAGACACTGTTGCCGTTGTAGTCCTTCCCGTCGACACGAATGGCGTAGAGATGACAGTCGGCGTCGTGGAGCCGTTCAGCGATGCGTGGGACTTGGACACAGGTTGCCCGGCGCCGTACAGCCTCGTCGCAGCACAGGAGGAGACGCCCGTCTGCACGACCACGACGACGACCGCCACGGACACCACGTCTTCTGAGACGTCGACCTTCACGCTCACAAGCACGAGTGCGTCAAGCACATCGAGCGTCACGAGCACCTCGACCCTGACCTCGACGACATGGACCAGCACCATCAGCTTGACGAGCAAGACCACGACAACTGAAAGTAGCACCTCGTCACAATCCAGCACAACCGAGACCAGCTCAACAACGATGTCATCCACCAGCACCCTCTCATCCACTACTGGCAGCAGCACGTCGTCGAGCTCTATGACGGAGAGCAGTTCAATCACGATCACCAAAACCAGCACTCTGTCGCTTACCTCCGAGACATCCTCGATCAGCACATCAAGGACCAGCTACACGACGAGGACGGCTTCGTCGACTACAGCGAGCAGCACCTTTTCCGTCAGCACATCTACAGAGACGTCGAGCACGACGGTGACGACCACCACCTCAACTTCGATCAGCATATCGGCGACCAGCTCGACAACGGCTACCAGCTCAACGACGATCACCACACCGACGGAGTCATCGAGCACGTCGGCGACGACCGCCACTACAACTCTCACAGTGTCTTCCACCACGACTGCGAGCAGCATATCGGCGACCAGCTCGACCACGATTAGTACATCCACGGAGTCGTCGAGCACGTCAGCGACTTCTACCACTGCAACGTTCACAGTGTCTTCCACCACGACTGCGAGCAGCACATCGGTGACCAGCTCGACCACGATTAGCACATCCACGGAGTCGTCGAGCACGTCAGCCACTTCTACCACTGCAACGTCCACAGAGTCTTCCTCCACGACTGCGAGCAGCACATCGGCGACCAGCTCGACCACGATTAGCACATCCACGGAGTCGTCGAGCACGTCAGCCACTCCTACCACTGCAACGTCCACAGTGTCTTCCACCACGGCTGAGACAAGCATCTCGGCGACCAGCTCGACCACGATTAGCACATCCACGGAGTCGTCGAGCTCGTCGGCAACTACCAGGAGCACATCAATCACCACGATGACCACTACCTCAATATCGTCCTCCAACACTGCTACCAGCTCGACGACGATCAGCACTTCCACGGAGTCGTCGAGCACGTCAGCGACTTCTACCACTGCAACGTTCACAGTGTCTTCCACCACGACTGCGAGCAGCATATCGGCGACCAGCTCGACCACGATTAGCACATCCACGGAGTCGTCGAGCACGTCAGCGACTTCTACCACTGCAACGTCCACAGTGTCTTCCACCACGACTGCGAGCAGCACATCGGCGACCAGCTCGACCACGATTAGCACATCCACGGAGTCGTCGAGCACGTCAGCGACTTCTACCACTGCAACGTCCACAGAGTCTTCCACCACGACTGCGAGCAGCACATCGGCGACCAGCTCGACAACGATTAGCACATCCACGGAGTCGTCGAGCACCTCGGCGACGACCACCACTGCAACGTCCACAGAGTCTTCCACCACGACTGCGAGCAGCACATCGGTGACCAGCTCGACCACGATTAGCACGTCCACGCAGACCAGCTCGACCACGGACTCATCCACGAGAACATCCACCAGCGCGAGCAGCACAACCCAGAGTTCCATGACTGCCACCTCGACCACCACGCAGTCTAGCTCCACATCTCTTACCAGCACAAGCCAGTCCTCATCCTTCACCGCATCCTCTACCACGACCGTTTCCTCCGCAACTCTGACTACCTTCACTCTCAGTTCCACCACGGCGAGCTCTTCGTCGGGGTCAACTACCACAATATCGTCGATGTCGGAGACCTCCATTACAGGGACCTCGGCCTCGGAGACCTCCAGCGCAACCGCCACCAGCTCCGCGACGACCAGCTCCACGGCCTCCTCGCCGACGTCCTCGTCGGCGACGTCCACCAGCGCGAGCATGACGGGCACCGCCACGACGCGGAGCTCCTCTGGGACGAGCTCGACCGACACCTCCTCGACGACCGTCTCGTCCTCCACCACCCCCAACCCTGGGTGCGTCCAGTGCGAGGCCCTGCCGATCACGGGGTGCCCCGAGGTCATTCCCGCGGGAGGCAGCTGCACGTACGCCGTCGCGGCCAGCCCGTGCGTCTCTGGCGCGCCGCAGGAGCAGACGTGCCCGGCCGACAACGAGATCTTCGGCCTGCCGCCGGTGACGCAGACCTTCCCTGGCTACCCAGAGCTCACGTGCAAGATTTGTGGGATCTCGGGAGTTGCCGCGGACGAGACCAAATATCCGGGGTATTATGCCGGCGCGATCGCCTTTGGTCCGAACCAGAAGGGCGGGCAGGTAGACGAGTCGGACATCGTCGCCTACAGAATCTACTTCGCAGACTGCCATGGGACGAAATTGGGCTTGCCTTTGGCCACGATCCCGAAGCTGGGCAAAGAGGGGGGCATCGATGGGTGCTGCGCGGCCGACGCGTACACCGCGCAGATCACCACGACGAAGTACCCTGTGGGCACGAAGGGCCTCATGGTGGTGCCGATCGACGTGACCGAGCTCGAGATGGGCTCCGGCGAGCAGATCGAGATCCCCGACGACGACAGCGAGTGCCCACCGCGCATCGGCTGGCTGGAGGAGCAGGCCTGGATGCCCCTGTGTGCCACCTCGACCTCGACCTTCACGGTCACGGCAGGCTCGAGCACCACGGCGACCATCAGCACGTTCACCACCATAAGCACCAGCATGTCTTCGGCGTTCAGCATGGCCGCCAAGACCTTCACGGCCACTTCTGAGACGCTCACCAGCTCCAGCTCCGCCACCGCCACACTCTCCAGCATCTCTGCGACCTCATCCCTCACGAGCTCCACCGCCACCAGTACTGCCACGACCGTCAGCACAACCCCGACATTCACATCCACACTGACCAGCACGTCCGTTACCAGCACCTTTAGCCACACACGCTCCACCGTGACATGGACCAGTTCCACCACGAGGACTTCCTCAGCGTCTGCGAGTTCCACCACTTCTGCAACATCGTCCACCACCCATTCGACCTTGACCAACAGCACCACCTCAACGTTGACCACTATGTCTGAGACTTCAACGACCACGAGGTCGTCCTCGACCACAGCAAGCAACACGTCGAAGACCTCGACTGCGACAAGCTCGAGCACGGCCAGCACTACGACAGCGACTTTGACGAGCACGGTGTCAACCTCAATCAGCCACACCATTTCGGAGACCAGCTCGACCACTATCAGCACTGCGTCGGACACTTCGACGAGCACGGTGTCAACCTCAATCAGCTACACCGATTCGGAAACCAGCTCGACCACTACCAGCACGACGTCGGACACTTCGACGAGCACGGTGTCAACCTCATCCAGCTACACCGTTTCGAAGACTAGCTCGACCACTATCAGCACTGCATCGGACACTTCGACGAGCACGGTGTCAACCTCAATCAGCTACACCGTTTCGAAGACTAGCTCGACCACTATCAGCACTGCATCGGACACTTCGACGAGCACGGTGTCAACCTCAATCAGCTACACCGTTTCAAAGACTAGCTCGACCACTATCAGCACTGCGTCGTCCAACTCGACGAGCACAATGTCCACCTCAACCATCACCACCAATTCAGAGACCACCTCGACTGGTAGCACCACTTCGGAGAGCAGCGCGACAAGTGCCACCTCGACGTCGGCGACTTCGACGGGCACAGCAACTACTATTTCACAGACTAGCTCGACTGGTAGCACCACTTCGGAGAGTAGCTCGACCAGTGCCACCTCGACGTCGGCGACTTCGACGGGCACGGCAACTACTATTTCACAGACTAGCTCGACTGGTAGCACCATTTCGGAGAGCAGCTCATCCACTTCGGAGACCAGTTCGACCATCTCGACCACTGCCACCACGAAGTCGGCGACTTCGACCAGCACGGTGTCCAGCTTCACCAGGACCACGTCGGAGACAAGCTCGATTACGGCGAGCACGGCGTCGGCGACTTCGACGACCACAGTGTCCTTCTCGACTAGAACAACGACGTCAGGCACAAGCTCTACCACAAGCAGTACGACGTCGGAGACTGCGACGACCACGGTGTCCACCTCGACTAGGACCACGACGTCGAAGACCAGTTCGACCGTAAGCAGTACGACGTCGGAGACTGCGACGTCCACGATGTCCACCTCGAGCAGGACTACGACGTCGGTGACCAGCTCGACAACTGCTAGCACATCCCAGACCAGTTCGACTGGAACCAGCTCGACTACTGTCAGCACTTCCCTGACCACGCTCAGCGCCACGTCGGAGACCTCTACTGCGAGCAGCTCGAGCACACTCAGCACCACCTCGAAGACCTTGTCTATGACGAGCTCGAGCGAGACGAGCACGACAACGGTCACCTCCTCTACCACCCTCAGCTCCACCAGCGCAACGAGTGCGAGTGCGACCAGCTCCACCGAGACCTCCACCAGCACGGCCTCGAGCACCACGCGCTCGAGCGGCACGCGCTCGAGTTCGACGACCGTGACAACCGCCAGCGCGACCAGCACCACCACTCGGAGCAGCTCCACGGCAACCAGCTCCACGAGCTCCACCGCAACCAGCACCACCCGGACCACCAGCTGGCTGCCGTGCAGGCCAGGGTGCGAGGGTGCCACCTACTTTGGCTGCGACGAACCCTTGGCGGCCGGCCGCAGCTGCCACCCGTCCAAGATCAGCAGCAGCCCGTGCATATCTGGAGTGGCGCCCGAGCTGGTATGCCCCGCACAGAACCTCGACAACAGCCGCATCCCAAAGTTCTTTCCAGCAATCCCGGACGAAGACACGCCGATGATCCAGTGCCGTGTCTGCGGCATCGGATCACTGAGCGAGGATGAGAGTGGTGTCCAGGGCTACTACACAGGCGTCATCAGCTTCGGTCGCAACCAGATGCACGGCGAGCTGAACGAGGAACACGTCGTCGGCTACAACCTCTACTTCGTAAACGCCCTTTACGAGAAGGTGCCTTGGAACGGGCAAGTTCAGGCAATCCAGTTTGTGCACAAGACGGAAGGGCAGCCAGGAGCCTGTTGCGCCGACGACGCCTACGAGGTGTCGGTGACGGACCTCGAGCTCCCGTACGGCGAGGTCGCCGACCCATCGGACCTCCGCATCATGGTCGTGGCCGTGGACTCCGAGGACGTCGAGATGCCCGTGGGTCCGACTCAGGAGTTGCCCGTCGACGCCGACGAGGCGTGCCCCCCGCCCAGTCTCTTCCTGGCGGACACGGACATGCAGCTGTGCGAGCTGGCAGGGCCCGGCCAGGGGCCGCCCGTCGCCCGCCCCCCAGGGGCGACTGGTGCGCAGAGACCGCACCGCAGCACAGCGAGGAGGCTCAGCGAGGGCTTCTGCACGGCCTGCGCGGGGATGCCCCTGGTGGGGTGCACGTCGGACCTGAGCCCAGGGGAGAGCTGCAGCCCGGTGAAGCCGACGTCGGGCTGCGTCCAGGGGGCCGAGCTCACCCTCACCTGCCCCGCCGGCCACGCCGGCGCCGCTCTGCCAAGCATCCTCTACCACGAGCCCGATTTTCCGACCCTCGTGTGCCAGGTCTGCGGCATCGGCGGCGTGAGCGAGGACGCGGACGCGCGCGCGGGGTATTACGACGGCAACGTAAGCTTCGGCAGAAACACGAAGGGGTCCAGCCAGATCGACGAGACTTCGATCAAGGAGTATAGGGTCTACTTCTCCGATGGTGCAGGGAACAAGGACCTGTACGGGGGGCTCATCGGCTCCGTCAGTGCAGCCTCGTCCGGCGTCGGGGCCGAGAGCGCCGACTGCTGCGACCGTGCGGCGTACTCGGTGGCGGTCGCGGGCCGCTTCCGGCCTGGCTTCGCGACCCACATCATGGTGGTGCCCGTCGACACGGACGATCTGGAGATGCCCGTGGGGCAGACGATGGCATTCGTCGACGCGGAGTCCTCCTGCGTGGAGCCGGCCGGCATGCTCGCTCCTGCGGTGCCGATGGGCCAGTGCCCCGACGGCGGCGCGCGGCCCGCGGCGGCGGCGGCCGGCCCCGCGCTCCCGCGGCTCCGGGGCGCCGCGCCCGCCCGCCGGGCACGGAGCGCCCCCGCCGGCGGCGCTGCGCGCGCTGCGCGCCCGCCCGCTGCCGCGCCGGCGGCGGCCGCGTGGCCCCGGCGGGCCGCGCCAGCCGCGGCCGGCGTGGCGCCCGCCCGCCGGGCCGAGAACGCCAGCGCCGGCTGCGAGGCGTGCCCCGTCCTCGCCGGCACCGGGTGTGCGGGGGCGCTGGCGCAGGGGGCGAGCTGCACCCCGGCGTGGTCGCCCTCGGTGTGCCTGTCGGGGCCCTGGCCGACGCTCACCTGCCCGGCGGACGGCGCCATCCCGGAGGCCTCCGATGCGCTCCCGGACTTCCTCTGCCGTGTCTGCGCCGTCGCCCTGACTGACGACTCTGATTCCAGGGAGGGTTTTTACACTGGCAGCCTGAGCTTCGGCCCCAACCAGTGGACCAACAGCGGCTATATCGCCGAGCAGGCCATCAAGGAGTACAGGGCCTACTTTGCCTCCCTGGACGGGACATTTCGTGAACTTCTGGTCGTCGTTCCGAAAAGCAACCTGTCCAATGGAACAGAAGACTGCTGCGACGCTGGCAGATACCAGGTGGAACTCTCGGGGATCTCGGTCCCCAGCGCCGACGTGTACGTGGCTGTCGTTCCCGTGGAGGACATCGGGAATGAGGCTGAGCTCGAGATGATCGCAGGAACCTCCGTGCAGCTCTTCGACCTCACCCCGTCCACGTCCACCGCCACCACCACTACCGTTCTGAAGTCGTACACGATTACAGGCAGCTTAAAGCTGAGTTTCGGCGACAATGCGGCCGCAGTGGCAGACCCGCAGGTGAAGGAGGGGATCGAGAAGGGGCTCGCCGTCAAAAGCGGCCTCGGCGAGGAGAACGCGGACATGGTCGAGGCTACCTTGTCACTCGTCAACGCGTCGAGGCGGCTGAGCACTACGATCCGCAGGCTCTCTGGCTCCGCTGTCCAGGTGGACTTCGAGATCATCATCCCGCCGGAGGCTGCGGCATCGATCGACGCCTACGACGTGGGGGACTCGATCGCCTCGGCGGACGAGACCAGCCTCAGATCCGCGCTGTCGGACGCCATAGCGTCGGTCGCCGACGCGAACTACTCCGTGTCCGTGGTCGAGATGCCGAGCGTGGACCCGATCTTGGTAGAGACGCACACCACCACCTCCACCACAACCTCGACGACGACGACCCGCACCTCCTCCACCACCACCACGACGACGACGGTCACCACCACCTTCAGCCTCAACAGCAGGGCCGCCGGGTCCCTGGGAGTGCGGCAGGCCGAGCCGGGCGCCCCGCTCGCCTTCGCGGCGGCGGCGGCGGCGCTCCTGGTCCTGGCCATGTAGGGCCCTCTTCCTCCCCTCTCCGTGTAGGGCCCTCTCTCCGCCTCTCCGTAGGGCCCTCTTCTCTCGGCGCTCGAGCGCCACCGCCTAGCCCCGCGTAGGGCCGTCCCCCTGGGACGACACAGGCGCAGTCTCCTGTCTCCAGTCTTCGTCTTCTCGGCGTCCCCCCCTCCCCTCCCTTCTCCTTCTCCTCGCTGTTGTTTTGGTTCCCAGCACGCGACCATCCAGTGGGGGTGCCCGCGGCAGGATTTGCCGTCTTTCTGTCAGGCGATCGCAAACATGGATCAAGGGGGTATGGATTAGCGACGGGTCCCGTTTCCATGGGACATCACAGATGTCCGCGCCGAGCGATGCGGCACGGGCCGCATTGTGGGGAGGACACCTCCCCCGATCCATGGATTTGGCGACTGCGCGCCAAATCCATGGATCGCTAATCCATGTTTGCGCTCCTCCGATTTCTGGATGCTCGAAACGGATACTTCGGGCGTGCCAAGCTTCCCGCTTCCCCTCGATGTAGTCAACCCCGCTCTGGCTGCCTGTCTCGTCCTTGGCGGCCACCGGTGGGTGTGATGGCGGACCAGGTGGGTGTGTCGGTGTGTCGCACGTGCCTGAGGCGCAGCGTGCAGGACCACCCTCCGTCTTCGTCTGCATGCAAGGAGGCCCACCCTGAGCTGCCAAGTTTGTCGTTTCACCTCCGCAGGGATACCTTGCTTGGCACCTCGTATTCTGGCGGGGTAGTCATATTTATTCAATCGCTTCGCCCATTTTGCCAGCCCTTATTTGCATGACCTGTGGGTGCATGACAGAATCGGGACGGCTCGGCAACTAACTAAAGTAATGCCGAGGTGACCCAAGCAGTGCCCACCATATGTCGAGTGCGAGAGGGCATGCGCCCCTCACGCCAAGAGCAATGACAAGGTCCTTGAAGATCTCGTCCCTGGTTGACTTGCTCTGTTGGTCCTTGCTGGATTGCACTCAAAAGAGACAAGCGTCCGCGGATAGAGAAGCATCAGCGCCATGGGAAGGGGATTGGAGGGAGGAGTAAAAGATGTCCTTCTGGATATCCGTGTCTGATGGACCCGGGGCCGGACAACGTTGCCCCCGGAGGCGGATCGATCGAGGACACGCCCTGAGCCCGAAACGTCGTACGCATACCGTCGGAGATCCAGGTCCCCACCTCTTCCGTCTCCTCCTCCCCCTCCTCCTCCTCCTCCTCCTCCTGCTCCTCCTTCTTCTTCTCCTCCTCCTCCTCCTCCTCTCCTTTTCCTTATAACTAATTTTTCAATGTCGCCCCCCGAGGCCAGTTTTTAGGGCGGGCCGGGTGTTTGGGTTTCGTCTGAGGTTTCCTCACCATTTATGACCTTAAAGCCAAACATTGGCAATAGATTCACAAATGGAGGGCGTGTCGTTTTCAAAATGTGGCTCTTTCTTTGGCGCCGCGCACATTCGTTTTTAACAGTTGCAAGAGCTTCACGGATTGAGAGCAACCCGTTTTCAACATGTGGTTCTCGCTTTATTCCCGCGTGCATTCGTGTTTAAAGGATTGCAAGAGTTTCACGGATTGATGGTGGTGCATGTTCGAAATGTGGTTCTCGCCTTGGCGCCGCGCACATTCGTTCTTAACATTTGGAAGAATTTATTGAATTTCCAGGATCAGCGTACTAGAAGTGGTGTTTTGAAAGGATTCTGAGTTATGAAGGTGCAACAGTTACGTTGATTCGCGGTGTTGAAGTCCCAGGAATGCCGTTCTGGCACGACTCAGGGCCGTCAAGACGCAGCAGTCAGGTTGACCCGTGGCGATGGAATCCCGACACCATGTGTGTTGACATGTTTCAGGGTGTTCAAACGGTTGTCTTCCAACGAGGCAGTTTCCCTCAATGGAAATGGACCGTTGTAGGGGCCTATGAAGAGGGAGCTTGGAGGGAGGGCTTATTCCAACATCGTCGACATCGATTGGGCTTGCACTGGTTCTCCTCCGTCTCCTCCTCCTCCTCCTCCTCCTCCTCCTCCTCTCTCCCCCTCCTCCTCCTCCTCCTCCTCCTCTTCCCCCTCCTCCTCCTCTCCTCCTTGTCCTCCCCCTCCTCCTTCTCCGCCGCCTCTTCCTCATCCTCCTCTTCCTCTTCTCCTCCCTCCTCCTCCCTCCTCCTCCTCCTCCTCCTCCTCCTCCTCCTCCTCCTCCTCCTCCCCTCCTCCTCCTCCCCCCCCTTCTTCTTCCTCCTCCTTCTCCTCCTCTTTCTCCTCCTCGTCCTCCTCCTCCTTCCTCCTCCCCCTCCTCCACCTCCTCCTCCTGCTCCTCCTCTTCTTCTTCCTCCTCATTCCCCCTCCTCCTGCTCCTCCTCCTCCTTCTCCTTCTCCTCCTTCTCCTCCTCCTGCTCCTTCTTCCTTATCCTCCTCCTTCTTCTCCGCCTTCGTCCTCCTCCTCGTCCTCCTCCTTCTCCTCGTCCTCCTCCTCCTCCTCTTCCTCTTCCTCCTCCTCTCCCCGTCCCTCCCCCTCCCCCTCCTCCTCCTCCTCCTCCTCCTCCTCCTCCTCCTCCTCCTCCTCCCCCTCCTCCCCCTCCTCCTCCGCCACCTCCTCCTCCGCCTCCTTATCCTCCTCCTCCTCCTCTTCCTCCACCTCCACCTTCTTCCTCCTCCTCCTTCTCCTCCCCCTCCTCCTCCTCATCCTCCTTCTCCTTCTCTTTCTCCTCCTCGTCCTTATCCTCCTTCCCACGGGGAGCCAGACGTCAACAGCTACAGCGATGAGGCGAAACATGAGCCCGACGACATCATCTACAGCACGGCGACGTCCACCAGTGGGAAGGCGAGGGACGAGCCCAACGTCGTCAGCTACACGCGGAGGCGACCAGCAGCCACCGTGAGCGCAAGCGAAAGGAAGGCGACGGACGAGCCCAACGGCATCAGCTACAGCGCTAGGATCAGGACGAACTTGGCGGTCGAAGGCAGCGCCGTGCGTGGAGCTCGTGCGAGAAGAGCGGGCAGGAGGCAAACCTGGAGCCCAACTACTCTAGCCACGCTACCAGCCAGAGCCAGAAGGGAAAGACGCAGCCACACGTGCCCAGCTACAGTGCTGTGATGAGGGCAACAGTGGTGGAGACCAAGCTGGAGCCCAATACCACTAGCGTTTCCTCCTCGGGTCCCCTTTTCATCGCCACGGTTAGATCTGCTAAATCGGAAAGTGGCTCGGTTACGGAAGCGAAGAAGGAGCCCAACGTGACCAACTACAGCGCAGAAATCAGCGGCGGTGGCGCCAGCGGGGGCCCTGGAGACAGAGCGTTCGAGACGTGTGAGGCGAAGACAGCTTGATACGAGCAGCCACCGTGCGGCAAATAGGGCGTGCACCAGCACGGCGATGTGGCAAGCGCGAGCCGAGATCTCCCGCAAATGGCTGGGCCCGAGCAGGTGCCAGCGCGAGCAGGAGTGGCGAAGCCGAAGCCCGACGTCGTCAGTTACAACGTGGAGAAAGGCAGCCACTGGGAGGCGCAGGACATCCATCGAGAGTGGGAGGCCCATCCCAGGGGAGGACCAGCATCATATCGAGACCATCTACCCGAAGTGCGTCATCACGCCCAGCAGGAAGTTCAGCCCCTTCACCCTGCCGGGCTCGAACGGTAGGCCCGCGGGGCCAGTCAGGCCAGACTTCGCGAAGATGGTCCTGAGGAGCACGCAGGACAAGAGACGCGCCCCGATAAAGCGCGTGTGAGAAGTTTGAGAAACGCAGAAGCTGTGAGGAGGACGAGCACCGCCTCGAGTGGCGGAGCGAGGGAGGAGACTGCAGCGCCCTGCGAGAACTGCAGAAGCTGTGAGGAGAACCAGCGCCGCCTCGCGAGGCGAAGCCAGGGAGGAGACTGCAGCGCCCTGCAGGCGCGCCCAGCCGTGGGCTGCGGCGCCGAGAGGCCGCCACCGCCGCCGCGCCCGCCCCACACCCTGAGCGGGAGCCCCTTGAGAATGGGGGCATACCCGGGGGAAGGGCCTGTGCGCGGCGAGCGGCGGGGCGGCCCCCAAACCGACGATGTCGATCAAGGAAGAGCCCTGGAAGAGCTCCTCCTCCTCCTCCTCCTCCTCCTCCTCCTCCTCCTCATCGCCACCATCGTCATCATCATCTCGCTTGTTTTCGTGGGCGAAGCACGCAGACGCATCCGTGTCCGCAGCCTCGCGGGCCGGGCCTCTGGGCCGCGACCCTGCAGATGCGGAGCGCGCCCGCGACCCTGGGTTTCTCGGATGCCCCGCGCGGAGAGTTCCGTGCGACCGCGCGCCCACGGGATCGCCCCCAGGACTTCTGACTGCGATGGCGCGGATGCAGATCTGCTCGCCGCTTGTGATCCACCCATCCCTTCCGTTAGGTGTTCGGCCATTGCTCCTTTGTCAAACGCAAGTGCCCATTTTCACGCCGAAGACCGCGGCAAACCATCGAAGACTGCGGGAGAGACCGAAGACCGCCGAAAACCGTCGGAGGGTGCCGGAAACCGCCAGAAGACCGCCGAAGAGTGTTGGGAGACCGCCGAAGTCCGCCCGAGGCAGATGCATAACAAGGGGCCCGTGGTCGAATACGTAGCCTCCGCTGCTGACGGCGAGGGCGGCGGCGGCGGCGGCCCCATTCGCCGTGGAAAGGCTGCCGGTGCAGGAGGGCACCTCGCTCCTCGCGGCGACCGCGGCGGTCCTGAGCGGCGTCGGCGGCGCCGGCGGCGAGCCGCGCTTGCACGCGGCGCCGGGACCGCCCGGATCCCCCCCTCCAGATCGTCGTTCAAGTTGTTCCCTGTTGGGCTGGTAAGGGCATAAAAAGGGTTATAAGCGGATGCCAATGAGGCGACATTTGGCCCAACCCAACTTAGGAGCTGGTTGCGCATGTCCCCAGTGGCTAGGGGGTTAGATAACTCCGCTGAAATGGGCGCGGTCCACTCGGCCAGGATCGCGAGATACCTGAAACCACTTTGTGTACGTGTTTTCAACGTGTAAGCCAGGCTGGGCCAGATATAAACACTGGAAAGAGCGTGTTCTACCGCTGCTGGCGGAAAACCAGGGGGGGTCACTACCGGTTCGAACCCCTCCCCCCCCCCCCCCACCGGAAAACCGGGGGGGGTCACTACCGGTTCGAACCCCTCCCCCTCGCGACAGGTTGTTTCTGTGTCCAACTGGGGGTTTCTGTGTCCCCGTTGGGTGTTTCTGTGTCCCGCGCCGCCCGGGGGTCCCCAGGATGAGTGTTTCTATGTCCGCTATGATGCCGTTCTAATGCGTTTCGTATTGTGCGACGATACCCATCATCTCGTGGAAATCAAACCGTTGTCCAATAGGGGAAACTTTTGCGTCCAGGATTTTGTGGACGCGGGACACTTTGGAGTTTCTGTGTCCGCCACCTTGTGCTCTTGTGGCATCGTGTGTATGTCATGCTTGTGGCACTACTACTACTACTACTACTACTACTACTACTACTACTACTACTACTACTACTACTACTACTACGACTACGACTACTACTACTACTACTACTACTACTACTACTACTACTACTACTACTACTACTACTACTACTACTACTACTACTACTACTACTACTACTACTACTACTACTACTACTACTACTACTACTACTACTACTACTGCTACTACTACTACTACTACTACTATACTACTACTACTACTACTACTACTACTACTACTACTACTACTACTACTACTACTACTACTACTACTACTACTACTACTACTACTACTACTACTACTACTACTACTACTACTACTACTACTACTACTACTACTACTACTACTACTACTACTACTACTACTACTACTACTACTACTACTACTACTACTACTACTACTACTACTACTACTACTGAAGTCCAAGAGGCTCTCTCGGGAAGTCCAAGAGGCTCTCTCGGGAAGTCCAAGAGGCGCGCTCGGGAAGTCCAAGAGGCGCGCTCGGGAAGTCCAAGAGGCGCGCTGGGACACAGAAACTCCCAACCCAGACCCACTCCAAGACACACATACACTGGGACACAGAAACACCCTATCTGGACACAGAAACACTCATCGAGGACACCGAAACCCCCATCTGGACACAGAAACACCTTTTGCCCTCCCCCCCCCCCCCCCCCCTGCTCATCATGAAAAGGGGGGGGGTCACTACCGGTTCGAACCCCTCCCCCCCCCCCCCCCCCGGATCCGGAAAACCGGGGGGGGTCACTACCGGTTCGAACCCCCCCCCCCCTCGAAAACCGAGTGGGGGTGCGGACAGTGGTGGGGACGGTGTTGGTGGGGACAGTGGTGAGGGGATAGCGGGACAGTGGTGGGGACAGTGGGACAGTGGGACAGTGGTGGGGACGGTAGTGGTGGGGACAGTGGTGGGGACAATGGTGGGAACAGGGGGGGACAGTGGACAGTGGTGGTGACGGTGGTGGTGGGGACAGTGGTGTGGGGACAATGGGAATGAGGTGGAAACAGTGGGACAGTGGAGGGTACAATGGTGGTGGGGACAGTGGTGAAGGCGGTGGCGAGGACGGCGGTGGGACAATGGGACAGAGGTACAGTGGGGACAGTGGTGGGGACAGTGGGGACAGTGGTGGGAACAGTGGGACAGCTCAGTGGGACAGCGGAGGAGTCAGTGGGACAGTGGGGACAGTGGGGATAGTCGGGCAGTGGTTGGGGCCGTGGAGACAGTGGGGAGAGTGGAACCGTGGTGGGAACAGTTCTGGGGACAGCGGGGACAGTGCGACAGTGGTGGGGCCACTGGTGGGGACAGTAGGGGCGGTGGTGGAACCAGTGGGGACAGCGGTGGTGAGGACAGTGGTGCTGGGAACACCAGTGGGGGATGTGATGCGGACGGTGGTGGGGACCGGGAGTCGTTTGCTGGCGGTGAGTAGGGGGGAAGGGGGGGGGGGGGGGGGGGGGGGAGGTTCGAACCGGTAGTGACCCCCCCCATTTTCCGGATCCGGAGGGGGGGGGGGGGGAGGGGTTCGAACCGGTTGTGACCCCCCCCCGGTTTTCGAGCGGGAGGGGGGGGGGGGGGGTAGGGGAGGGGGGGGTTTTGCCGGGGGAGGGGGGGGGGAGGGGTTCCAGCAGGGGGGGCGGGATTTTCGGAGGGGGGGGGGGGGCGACCCCCGGGTTTCGGAGGAAAAGGTTGGCAATTTTCCACAGTAAAGCGGCGGTGGATCACGCTCTCTCAAACACTGTGGTCACCGCTTCAAACCCCCTGTCCCATTCATAGCAAAACCCGCGGTCATGCCAGTGACAGTGTATTTTTGGGGGACTCGTAAGGCACGTGTGGGCCTTTTCCAGAAGCCGTGGCCCGTGGTCTCCCGTATGATCGGTCTGTTCCACCGTGTATTACCCATTTTGGGTTCACGTATGCGTTGCAAAATACGAGGTTCTCTTCCTCATTTGATTTGTTTTCAGGGTTTCCTGTCACCAGACGCAGCATAGCATCTCTAGCGCGTAACGGTCGCCTCCCCCTGGACATGCCCCCCTCCCCGCCGAGTAGCGGTAACGATCGTACATAGGGGGCTGTCTGAAACCCACACACATGCTGATGTTCGCGCGTCTACTTTGGCTATCGCAGCGCGCCCCCGCCCCGACGTGCCCAACACCGCCCAAGCATTACCTGTTACCCGGGGCCTCAGAGCCCCCTCCATGGGTAACGACCGTTACAAGAAATCGTAAAAAATAGGCCGGGGGGTCCAAACGGTGATTCACTGTCCTTGGGCGCGTGGCTGAAGTGTGGTTCCGCGGTTCGGGTTGTTGTTGTTGCGTTGCTGTTGCTGAAGCGCTGAGTTTTATTTTTTCTGTAAGAATAAATATGCTTGATCCTCCTCGAGTGGCCATTGTGTTTTTCAATTGACGTGCTCCTCCTGGGGCGCGCACCCTGTTCCTTCATTCGGGAAAGTATTGGGTATCAGATTGTGTTGCTGGCCCCTTATTTGCAACAACAGCGGCTCTCGCCTGAGATGTCCCCACATATGTCTTGCCAAATCGCGCTCTGGCGCGGAACATCCTCACAATGTATCCAAGAATCGCGGTCTTGCGTGATCTTGCATTGCAATTAATGGATATGTTGCGCCTCGACTCTCAGAAATCACGCTCTCGCTCTTGATTTCATCGCGATGTACTTAGGAATCGCGCTACCGCTCGAAATTTCCCCGATATTAATGTTGTAATGCCGTTTCAGCGACCCGCCCGCTCGACCCGGCCGTCTGGGCCCACCCGCCCGACCCGCCCGTTTGGGTGCGCTTGCCCGACCCGCCCGTCTGGTTCTGCCGTTTGTCATCTTGCTCCTTATCTCTTCCTTCAAATCTTGTTTGTACTTCATCATGTCCCCTAACCCGTGCTTCTTCCTTCATTTCTCCCTGCCCCTGCCTCAGAGGCTGTGCCAACTACACGTGGCAGGCATGGGAGATGTACACCCAAGGGGGATACTAGCGAAGCGAAGTGGGAAGGTACCGAGGTTTTGGGGAATACATGTTACATGAAAAGCGAGCATACGAAAGCGATCATTATTTGAAAAAGGTTATTGTTGTCGTCGTCGTCGTCATCGTCGTCGTCGTCGCCCTCGCCCGCGACCCGCCCGCGACCCACTCGCGACCAACCCCGCGAGCTGAGTCCCGACCCACCCGCGACCCGCTCCGCGCTCGCCCCTCGCTCTTATCCACAACTGCGCGGTGCTAGATAGCCACAGCAGCAATGAACGCACCAATCTCCAGGATGTCATGGCCCTTGCCTGGCGACCCTCCGAGGGGGGGGGCTCCCTGCCGAGGCGCTCCTCTACGAGAGCGCCCCGGACCTGGTCGCGCTCTTCCACCTGGACGGGGGCGCGTGGCTCCCGCTCGGCGAGGTGGCAGCTCCTGGCACGCTGGGGCCAGACTCGCCCTGCATCCGCGCCCTTCTCTGCCCGTGGTCCGCCCCCCTCCCTGCCCAGGCGTTTGGCGCCGTGGAAAGATCACGGCTGCAGCTTTTTCCGAGGCGGTAGTTTCTCGATACCCATCGCTTGGAGGAGCGATTTTCGAGAACCTCGGCAGGCGGTGGATATGGATGTATTTGGGCCCCCTGGGGGTCAAATATATCTATGTCCACCGCTCGCAGGGGTCCCAGGACTTCGGTTCCCCAGGCGGTGGAGATGGATGTGCCCCCTCCTCGCACTTTTCTTATGAGTTTCGGCCCCCCCGTCAACATCGAAGAACCTCACGCAGTACAAGCGCAATTTCCCGGAAGTCCGCGCGGAGATCTCGGGTCGGCATTGGGTCCCCTTGGCGGCGCCTCTGGCGCCGCCTTTGGCGCTCTCCGCGCGCCAGGGAGGGGGGGTCGAGCGCCGATCCTACAAAGCAGCGCGGACCTCCGAAAGTGTATGTTTGCGCGTTTTGCTGTTCCTCGACTTCTCTTACCGGGGCCCCCGGGGCCAAGAAGGACCCACAGGCAGCAGGCGGAGCAGCAGTCCGGGGGTCGAGGACTTCTAGGGGTCTCGTCGTGAATTCACGAGATCACGGCGGTGGAGGCCTGGGTGTTCCATCCTCCCTGCCTCGGCGGTGCGCCCAGGGGAGAAGGTGGAGTCGGCGGCGAAATCCCGACCGTACCGTCTACCCTCGCCGATCAATGAGTCAGGCAATTCGATGGGCGGCGAGGGTCGGGTTCGGAATTCGTCGGACACGTGGCGAAGTCCGAACCCTACCCCCGCCTCCCATTGATTTAAGAGGATCGATGGTTGGTGGGGGTAGGGTTCGGATGTCGCTACCTACAGAGGGGCCAGCCTTCTCAGAAGGCGGCGGGGCATCTCGGAAGCCCGCTCGTTTTCCGAGAGGCCTTCCAAACCTCCGAAGTCACAGGAGGCTTCTCGGAAGGCGGGAGGGGGCTTCTGAGAAGCCCCTCGCCTTTTGAGAAGGCCGGCCCCTGTGGTCATCGTCCTTTTTGGTTTTCAGGTCACCACTCGGGTCTCCAGCGGCTGTTCGGGACGCTCCGGGCACGCCCTGACGCCTCTCGGCGAGGCGCAGCCGCTGGAAGACATCCCGAGGCTGGCAAACCGCCGAGCACCTGCCACAACGTTTGAACCATTCGAACCTCTCGAGCTCCCCCCCCCAAAAAGAACACCTCCCCCCTCGGCGGGCTGCCGTCTGCTTCTCTCCCTGCCCCCCCTCATTTTCTTTATGCCTCCCAGATGGTGTCCGGGCAGATGGGGTCGGAGGATCGAGCCGCTTTGACGATGCATCGGCGGTGCGGCTCGATGTGGAGCCCGATGGCCTCCACACCGAGGGCGCCGATGCATCGCCGACCTCGCCGGCGCCTCGCCGGTGCATCGGCGATGCATCGGGCATGCGTCGCGATCCTCCGCCCCCACCTGCTCCGAGCCCACCTGAGAGGCCTCCAGTCGTTTGCCGAGGTGGCCGTCCCGCCGCACGGGCCGGGCTCCGCGGGGGCGCTCGGCAGGGTCTCCCTCGCGCTCTCCCCGGGCGGCGACCTCACCCTGGCGACGGACACCGGCGCGGCGCCCCGGGGCTCTCCAAAGGCGAAGGAGAACGGGCAGCGTAACACACGAATCGGCGGCGAAGTCCGAAGCCTACCCTCGCCGATTCACGATTCAGGCATCTCGATGGGCGGGGGGGTGCAGGGTTCGGAATGCGTCGAACGCGTGGCGAAGTCCGAAACCCACCCCCGCATCGCATCGACTTAGGAGAATTGATGGGGTGTCGGCGTCGACCTTGGTCAGCGTCAGGTCGTGGATAATCCTCGCGAATCAGCGACGGCCGACATGGACCATCACCAAAATCGGCATCGACAGAATCCCGCGACATCTTGGTCATGGTCCCCGTGCTTCTTCCCTCGATCTCCTCCCCCCAAGTATTTCGTCGTCTCCAACCTCCTCCTCCTGCCCCATCCTGGCCCTCCTGGAGGCGAAGGGCTCGGATGCCTCCACCCAGCTGCTGGACCTCTGCGCGGACCTCCTCACGTTTATGCTTTCACGCCGCTTTCGCTTCTTCTACGAAAAGGGGTCCCCCTCCCGTCTCGATCCCTCCTCTCGTCTGCCCCGCTACCCCGCCTCCCAAGGCTGGAGGAGCCTTAAGATCCTGGCGCAGCATTTTTCGTTCCACACCGGGCGAGCCCGTCCTGGTTCAAGGCCCCGGGGCCCTCGCATATCGATCCACAGGAACAGGATGGGGTGCAGGGTCCAGGGCTCCGCTTGCGCTTAGATGCGGTCAGCGGCGATTGAGGGGGTGATTTTGTGAAGGAGGAAGGCCTTCTCAGAAGGCCGCGGGACCCTTCGAAAGCCCTCGCGCCTTCTGATAAGTTTTCTGTGTCTTCAAAACAGGCTCAGGGAACTTCTCAGCTCAGAAGGCCTGGGAACATCCGAGCCTTCTGAGGCGAGCCCCTTCTCACTTCCCCCCCTCTCTCGCCGCCGATGCGATGCTGCAGTTTTTTCTCAGGGAGGGCCGACGGTCCAGGTGGAGGTGAAGGGGGGGGCTGTGGTGGGGGCCGGCGGCGGGCGGCGGGCGGGGGGAGGAGGGCGAGGGGTGGAGGGGGCAAGGTCGGTAATATTCAGGGGGGGGGGGGGGCAGGGCGAGGGGAGGAGTTGGAGGAGGGGGAGGGCGGGGCTGGGAGATGGGGCTGGCGGCGGGGGCAAGGGGAGGGGTGGAGGGGGCAAGGCTGTCCATACGCAGAGGGGGGCAGGGGCAGAGGGGGGAGACTTCTCCGAAGCCCCTGTGCTTCTTGGCAGGCGCGGGCCTTGAAGATCGATGCAAGGCCGGCGCCTCCTGAGAACCAGCCTCCTTCCAAGAAGCCCCCCCCCTCCCCCTACCCTTTTGTGCGCGTCGCCAACAGGTCGGCCGGCGAGGGCGGGAGGGAGGGAGCGGGGGGGAGAGCAGGGCCGCAGGGAGGGGAGTGCGGCGTAGGGAAGGGGGAGGAGGCGGCGGGAGGGAGGGACGGGACAGGTGGCACTTGTGTGCGTGGGTCGAGGGCGGCAGCCGCCCCGAGGTGGTGCGCCGGCGCCTGCGCGACGGGGCCGTCCTCGGGTCCACGCCTCCGGGGAAGACGTCGCAGCAGGTGCGCGGGTGCGGGTGCCCCCCCCCCCTTCCTCGGCCTCGCTGCCTCGCACTTCCCTCGTCCTCCAGCCGCCTCCTCTTCCCCGTCCCTCTTGCCTTTCCCTCCTCCTGCCCCTTTCCCCCCCATCCACTCCTCCTTCCAAATTCCCTCCCCCTCCTTTCCCGAAGAACAGGCGTTTCTCTTCTCTTCCTTCTTGTGCTCCCGCCTTGGTCCTCGCCCTCTCCCGCTGGCAAATTTAACCATCCCCCCTGGGTGAGGTTGTAAATCCGCCTCCTCTGCGGACATTGGCAAACAAAAAGAGTACCAGGTCGACCAGAACGGAAACCACAAACCAGAGAAAGGCAAGGAAGACACTGGGTCTTACTAGCACACGGAGGTGCCGAGCAAGAAGGCAAGGATCGCACAAACGGGAGCATACCAAAGCTCCATGGACGACCAGGACAAGCCAGCGGTAAGGAAATAGACCATCAGAGCTGCAATCGACGACGGGGGGCCGCGCAGCAAGAAGGCGAAACACACCGAAACCGAGTCAAGGAAACAACGGCAAGTGTGTCAAACCAAACAGATACGTGCAGCCCAGAGCACTGTAGCAAACACACGAAGTACGGCAACTTGGAGGGCAGTAGAAACAGGCAGACATGCGACCATACCTCAAGCAGTAACAGAGGAGTTGATCGAGAAAGGGAGGCAGCTTGGAGGGAAGAGTTGAACGAGAAAGGCAGCAGTCCCAGGAAAGATGTGGACGACGAAGACAGACAACAGTGCAAAAAGGCGAAACCCGAACACCAAACAGTGCAGACCCAGGGGGAGGAACCCCGACACGTAGGAGTGGATGCCAATACGGAAGACCCAGCGGGGGCGGCTGCCAGGCGAGCCAGACATGGATACATAATGTAGGCGAAAAAGCCAGCGACGACGAAAACGAATGGATCGACCGGTTCACATCCCACACACAAGCCTGGCTGGCCCACGCGAGGATCAGGCCAACATTTTGCGGGGCGTATGACCAGACCGTACGCAACCGGGCCATGCACATCAGTGTGGCGGCGCGGAGGAACGGAGTACGTCATCGATTCGCATGCGCGACGAGGCGGCTGCCATTACCTAGTCAAACCGCTGACCATTTAGCGGTGCAGAGGAATCGTGACAAGCAGACCAACCTGCGCAGACACATGAGTCCCGAGAAGGAGGACAACAACGCCCAACCAGCTGACGGATGGCGGGCAGGAAGCGCAAACAGGTGGACGCACGAACGTGCAGGAGGCCCCAGGGGACAACGAGCCGACCCCCCAGGTTGTCACCGAAGGGGCCGCGGCCAACGAGGAGCCGAACCCAGGCGGTATCAGGGCTGGCAGCGACGGCGTCGGAGGTAAGCCGGCACAGAAGTGGACGTCCAGGCCATGCAATCCGAGGTTGGGACAGTTCGCGAAAGACTCCAAGGGAGCACGCAGAGAGGCAAGAAGGCTGACAACAGCGATATCGGGGAGACCACATCTGGGGAACTGCAGCAGGCCACGCGAAGAGGGGTTGGAACGCAACCACTAGAAGAGGACCCCAGGGAAGGGGAACAAAAACCAGGCCCAGAAGCGTTATGCCTCAGAGGAGGCCACGGAACTGGGCAAGACTGGAAGCAGTTCCCAGCACCAGACCCAGTGGTCCAGGCGGCCCAGGGTTTCTCATCGGGGACACCCAGGACACGATGGGGGACCTGGCGAGAACGCGGGCACCTGCTGACCCCAAACGAGCGCAGACGAGCTGGAAGGCAGCGCCCCCCCCCCCCCCCCCAAATGCGCATGCCGCAAAATTTCCGAGGGCGCATCATCGAGGAATGCACGCCGCAACGGGAGAGGGCCAGCAGGTTGCGCTGGGAAGCTGAGGACGTTCGCCTGTCAGCACGATTCACCATCGCACGCGTGCGCAGGGCTGTCAGCGCCCATCTGCTGCCCTACTGCTACGGCTTGATGCGCCGCGGCAGTAGGGCAGCAGATGCGCGCCAGCTCGCGGCGGAATGCCTAGGGCCTCGCGAACCTGGCGCAGCAGCAGCAGCAGCAGCCCAATAAGGCGAGGCATCAGAAGCCCCGGCGCCCGCAGCAGCACAGCCACACTCAGCAGCCCTAGCAGAGGCGACCCACGCTGGAGCACGCCCCGAAGTCGAGGCGAGTGGGGTCGCGCAGCAGTCACGGGCCAGCGCAACAGCCCAATTGGCGACAACGGTGGCGGTGGCTGCGAGCGCGGCGCTCGACCAGGCAGGGCGCGGAGGAGAAGGTCAGCAGCCTGCAGAGCGCGCCCGTGGTCAAGAACGCGCAGGCGAACGAAGAGAGCAGAAGTGGCGCCGCGAGCACGGTCGCGCAGCGCGCGCCAGGGGCCTGGCCGCGATGGCCCGAGACCATTGGCGCCATCAGCTGGAGATCCACGCGTGGAGCGCAGCCCATTGGCCCACAGAGACGCGATCCTATGGGCGCGAGTGGGCGCCGCAGCAGCAGCCGGCCGAGCAGCGGCTCATTGCGGCTGAGGGTCAGCTGGGCAGCCAGAGCGGCCAGCTCAAACGCGAGTGGGCAGGCTCGACCAGCAGGCGGTCCCACGCTGACCCTACTGCGGCAGCCCAGAATCGCAAGTGCGAGAGGCAGGGCGAGGACTTCCCGCGGCGCCCAGAAGGGGCATCTGGCAGAAGCGGGGGGGGGGGGCGGTCAATCATTTCCTGCGCCCCCATGCCCAGAGAGAGGCCCAGCGGGGGCCGACTGGCCTCTGGACCCAGTGGGCCGCGTGCCAGAGTGGGCGCGCGCCGACGAGGCTCAAGGAGATGCGGCCCAATGAGTGCGAACAGACGATGCGTCGGCAGCCAGCTCGGGCGCCGCGGCAGCGGCCAGCCAAGCAGCAGCGCATTGCGGCCAACGGTCAGCTGGACCACGAGCGCCCTGCCCATGTGCGAGAGGACAGGCTGGACCAGTGAGCGAACGAACGAGAACACCATTGCGGCAGCCATGCATCGTAGAGGTGAGGAGGATGGCGAGAACTTCTCGCGTCGCCCAGAGGCGGCAACGACAGGGGGGCGGGGGGCGAGCGCTCCCTGCGCCCCCAGCTCAGCCCAGAGGCCCAGCGGTCGCCGATTGCCCGTGGGCCGAGTTGAACGATGGCCATCAGAGGAGAGTGCCGACGTGGCCCTCGGCGACAGGGCCCGATGAGCGCGAACAGATGATGCAGCGGCAGGCAGCCAAGCAGCAGCGCATCGCGGCCGTCGGACACCAGGTCTGCGGCGGGGGTGGGTGGGGGGCGAGCGCCCCCCGCGCCCCTGCGCTCTGCGCAGAGGCCCGGCGGTCGCTGACTGCCCCTGGGCCAGCGCCAGCGAAATGATGTGTAACGACGCGCGCCAATTGAAGTTCAAGCCTTGGAGCGGAGGCGAGCCGCAGGGGGGGCAGAGGCCTTGCGAGAGCCACCGCGCGCGGCAAGAGTCAGCTCCTACGGTGGAGGGGGAAGATGGCGCTGCCCGCGGCGTAATCCAGACCGAGTGGAGCGCCGCGCTCCGTCGAGCGGCGCCTGGCTGAGGCTCGCGGGGCGAGGCAGCGCGGCGAGGCCGCGGGCGACTGGGCCGCCCGCGACACCATAACAGACGGGGCGGCGCGGGAAGAATGAGACGGCACGCGGGCCGAGGGCCGGCAGGCCTAGCTGCCGATGGCGACGAGGCCACATCAGGCGCGGGGGCCGACGGCGACCGCGAGTACCCAACGCAGGCCAGTCGGCCGAGGGATATTCGCCATCCTCTGGCCAAGAGAACAAGGGCGAGCACGCGGCGCCGGAGACGTACCAGGCTGGGAAGCTTGGGGCAGGCGCGTGCTCTAGGAGTATCCAGGGGGCCTCGCAGTGGCGACGTCCGCGGCGAAAGGTGAAAGCGGCCAGATACTGGCGCCACAGATGCTTGAGCTCCGCAACCCCTCCCGGATGACGCCGAGGAGGTGCGTGTGGGCGACCGGGTCTTCGTCGCGATGTCCGAGCCCGACGGCCGGGCGCGACGGCGCATTGGCACATCTGGGAAGCGCCGATGTCGCGGGCCACGCGCGAAGATGACGGGGCCGAGACTGCGGGGGCTGCGCCAGACCCAGAAGCCGCCCGCGACGCCGAGACGGGGATGAATGAGCTCCGTCGAACAGCCCGCCCGTTGGCGGAGGCCCGCAGAGCTCGGGGGAATAAGGGGTCAGCGGGCGAGAAGGGTAGCCGCGACGCCGAGGCAGACGAGGGCGAGGTCGAGACGGCCGCGCTGGAGTCTGGCGACGCCGCGGGGGCGGCGGCATCGCCCGACTCGGAGGCGATGCGCGGCGCCGAGAATGCGACGCCCGCCATGGGCGCCGCCCGAGACGCCCAGGCCGAGGCGAGCGCGCCCGACTCAGAGACGACAGACATCGAGGCGACGCTGGCGGCGCAGGCGCCAGGGGAAATTACAGCGGGCGGCCTAGAGTGGATGCTGGCGGCGCCGTCGCTGCCGACAGATGAGGAGGCCGCGTCGAGAGGAGACGCCGTCGAACTCGAAGAAGCGAACCAAGCGCGGGGCGAGGGGGGCGCCATCGGGGCGGGTGAGGACAAGCTTCAAGCGGACCTTGCGAAGATTATGGCGCTGGACGCCAGGCGCGCCGAAGACGTCAAGGCGGAGTTCGCGGACGCGACGTGCAGGCGCGACATCGCACTCCGCCACGTGGCGGCCCCGTCATGGCGGGGCATCCCCAGCGCGATGACGTCGCTGGGGACGCAGCGCCGCGCTGGAGGCAAAGGAGATGAGGGGGCGCCGCGGTTGGGCGACGTGCCCACGCGGCTGCGCATGTTCCGCCGCGAGTCAGGGCGCGCCGGGCAGGTCGTGGGATTCGAGGAGGCACCGTCGGGAGCGCTGCGCGCGCGAGCGGGTCCCCCGGTGAAGGCCGCGCCCCTCCACGACGACGGGCTGCCCGTTCGGGATCCTGCTCGCAGAGGCGCCTGCGCCGCCACAGTGGGAGGTGGCGCCTCGGCCGAAGAGCCCGCTATACGTGCTGCCAGAGGTGCTGGTCGGCATGGCCGCGGACTTCCGTCCTGCGAGGGTCGCGCGCGTGCCGATCGGGCTGCCCGCGGCGAAAGGGCCCGCCAGCGTGCTGGCTCCCATTCACAAGAGCAAGCAGGACGAGGACAAGGTCCAGCACGACGAGTTTGCGGAGCAGCAGAACCGAGAGTTCGGCAATGGAGGAGCCGCCAGGAGGAGGGGGGGAAAGAGCTGCCATTGCGGCGCCCCCCACCGAGGGCTGCAGGAGCGGAGGCGCAGACATCATCCTAGGCGAGGGCGACGTTTTCGACACCTGCATGGGAAAGACGGGCGAGGACAAAATCAAGCATGACGAGCTTGCGAAGCACCAGGACCGCGGGTTCGGCAAGGGAGGAGCCGCCAGGGGGAGGGGGGGAGGCGGCGCCAGCGCGGCGCCCCCCCACCGAGGAGACGCAGGCGAAATTGAGAGATCAGCTGGAGGCGCAGGTGGCGGGCGCGGCCAGGAGGCCGAAGGAGGATGGCCCCACCGAGGCGCCGCAGCAGCCGCCAGCCCTGGCGCAGCGGACAGTGGCCGCAGGCCAGCAGGGCAGCTCGAGTGGACCGTCCACTCGCCAGCTGCTCCAACGAGCTGCCTCAGCCGATGGAGGCACTGGATCAGGCCCCAGGGCGGCCGAAATGCGGCGTGAGATGCTGCCTGCTGCGGGCTGAGCTGCGGCACTCGCGGAGGCGCGGGTGGGCCGCGCGCCGCTCCCGAGCCTGCTGGATCGGATCGGGTCGTCGGGGTGGGGTGCGCGACGCGCGGCCCCCCGCCCCCAACACCCCTCCTCCTCCTCCTCCTCCTCCTCCTCCTCCTCCTCCTCCTCCTCCTCCTCCTCCTCCTCCTCCTCCTCCTCCTCCTCCTGCTCCTACTCCTCCTTTTCCTCCTCCTCCTCCTCCTCCTCCTCCTCCTCCTCGTCCTCGTCCTCCTCCTCCTCCTCCTTCTCCTCCTCCTCTCCTTCGGCTGTCCTCCCTTTCCCTCCCCATTCCTGGGGCCCTTCCCTTCCCGTATGGTGCAGCCCCTGTGAGATGAAGCTCCCTGTTCGAAAGCCAACCGAAACCGAATTCACAGTCAAGGCGCTGCAGTAAGGAATGCTTTGGGTTCTTCTGGCAGCAGCTTGTTCGCAATCAAGCCCGATCCGGCATAACGGTTCTTTGATCGGGCCCAGTAGCCTTTCACATCGCTATTGCGAAGACTTCCGCTGTGTGGTCCTGCATGGGTGTTTCAGAGGGTCCCACGTTTTCTTGCTGTTTTTGGGATGTCGTCCAGATTGCGGCAGGGATGGTCGAAATCAGGACGAGATCACGACGGCATTTGGGCGAAATCTGGACGGAAAGGTGGAGAGCGCTGAAAATTGGACGACGTCCGGTAGACATCACGTTTATGATAGGGCCGTGGATGTTCACAAAGGCTCCCATGCAGGCTCACCCACCTGATGTTGCATCGTCGGGAAACCTTTTCTGTCCTCTAAGTGGCGGTGCTTTCTTGCACTCCGACGTAGATTCGGCGCGGATTCGACGTGAATTCGACGTGGATTCGACGCGGATGCGACACGGTCCCGCAACATGCAGCACACACCCAAACTCCCCGGAGCTGCCTTTGGCGAGGGGGACAGGAGGGAGGGAGCAGGAGAAGGCCCAGGAGGAGATGAGGGCGAAGGAGGGGTGCAAGGGAGAGGATGGGGAGGAGGGGAGAAGAGCGGAGAGGAGAGGCGGGGAGAAGAGGGGAGGGGAGAAGGACGACGAGGGAGGATGGAAGGGAAGAGGGGGAGGGAGGGAACAGCCGGGGGCCCAGGAAGGGATGAGGGCGGAGGCGGGGAAAAGCGGGGATGGTCAGGAGGGAGACGAGGGAAGGTGCCCGCGCTCTCGTCCCCCCCCCTTCCTGCTCCCCCCCCCTCCGCCGCGCAGGCGTGGCGCGGGGCCTGCAGCGTCCGCCACGGCACCGCGGACCGCGTGGCGCACCTCCACCTGAAGAGGGCCACGCTTGCGCAGAGGCCGGAGGTCTCCCCCTCGGCGGCGGGCAGAAGGGCGCGCATCTTTTTGGGGCGTTCCGGGAATGGCCTCGCCTTCAAGGATCACATCTTCCTCGGCGGAAGGCGGCGGAAGGTCCGCGGAAGCTGGCGGAAGTAAAACGAGGCCGGAAGCCGGTGGAAGGCCGGCGGAAGCCGGCGGAATTGAGAATCGGTCTCCCAACCGATAGTTACCGTTTTGGGTTCAGTGTCTCCGGATGCCGCCAGTTGGATTGTGGCAAGTTTGTTTTGCATCGCCCCCCCCCCCTTCCTCCGCCGCTGGGTCGAAGATGCGCGCAAACGAGTCCCGACCTGCGAAGTGCAGATGTTCTGTCAGGCCTAGCCACGGCCCCCCCCTCTCCCTCTGTGCAAGGAAGCTTGCGGGGGTCCGATGAGAAGCAAGCACACAGGCATGGGCGAGGGGGCCCAACATGCGGCAGACTGATTTGTTTCCAGGCAGGCTCACGTCGTGTTCGGCAGCACATCTTGACAGCCTTGAGTCCCCTTGGAATTCCGCTCATAGGATGCATTAGCGCGCGGTATCGTCTGGTAATCGATGAAAAAGCGCCGATGTAGGGTCGACTAGCGTCGGTTAAGCGTCGAGCTCGCGTCGAGCTCGCGACGATTAGCTTCGATTCGCAGGAGTCCACAAGATGGTATGGGAGGCTCCCTAGAGTTGCCGCAGAAGTCGTGGAAGATCTCGACGCGAGGTTTCTGCCTCTTTTCAGCCTCTGGAGGCCCATGCCAGGCCTTTGGACAGTCGAAAAAACGACTCAGGATAAAAAGCAAGTCCAGGGGAATGGGTCGAGACCTATGGGGGTCGACGTTGTGAACGAACTCATGACGTCAGATGTCTGGGGGGCGAGAGGCCACCACCACTTTCGGAGGACTGATTTCTTCAGTCCCTCGGCTCGAAGAGGAAGAAGAAGAACAAGTTGCATAAGCAGAAGTTTGCGGAGCTCCGCGTGGATTTGTCGGATCGTCGCTGGGGCCCTTGGCGGCGCCTCCAGTGCCGCCCCTGGCTCGCTCCGCGCCTGGGAGGGGGGTCCATCGGCGACCCAAGAGATCCGCAAGCAGCTCCTAAAGTTGTTGTTTCTGATTATTAGTATGATTCCCCTATCAGAGCTTGCATCTGTAGGGGTCCTAGCAGATTCATATGGGTAGGTGAGGTGTGACACCGAGGCCCGCCCGGGTGCCCGGGTGCCCAAGTGCCAGGGTGCCTTATAACCCTATAGCCCTATAGCCCCATAGCCGAACAATAGCCCTATAGCCCTGTAGCCCTATATCCTTACAGCCTTTTAGCCCTATATGTAGCCCTATCGCTCTAGACCCCTACAGCTCTATAGCCCTATAGCCCCATCGCCTTATAGCCCTGTAGCCCAATAGCCCTACAGCCTATAGCCGTTTAGCCTTATTTCCTTGTAGTCCTATTGCCTTATAGCCTATAGCCCTATACCGCCATAGCCCTATACCCCTATAGCCCTACAGCCCTATGATCCTACAGCTTTATAGCCCCATAGCCGCATATATTCAAAGCCCTATGGCAATATAGCCCTATAGCCTCGTGGCCCCAGAGCCCAAGAGCCCCATAGCCCTATAGCCCTACAGCCCAACATCCCTATGGCCCTATAGCCCTATAGCCCTGTAGACTCATACCCCTAAGGCCCTATAGCCCTATAGTTCCATAACCATATAGCCCCATAGCCCCTACCGCGCTATAGCCGTATAGCCCTACAGCCCTACAGCTTTAAAACGATCTTGCTTGGGGCTTTTCTCTGGCATCGCTATTACTAGTAGTAGTTGTATGATTGTCAGTCTGATTATCTATCGCATTAGCATTGGTATTCGTAGTATAGATACTATAATAATTAATGTTCACATTTTCTTCCATAGTATAACAATTCATATGTTAGTAGTATTGCTCGCACACATTAAATGATTACCCGTATTACAATCGCTTCATTACTAGTAATGTGTTTGAATGATTCGCAGTGTTCGTATTATTTTTATTTTCTTAGTATCATTCGTCCTTTTCTTCTTCGTGTTCTTCGTCTTCATCTTCTACGTCCCTCGACGCCCCCGTCCCCCGTGACGGATGTCCAGTAGTGGCTACCTCGGCAGCGCGCAGGAGGGTGGCAGGAGAGTGGGATGTCGCGGGGAGATGGTCGGCCCGAGTCCGCGTCGACTGGGCACCCATCAGGGTGACGCAGGAGTCTTTCTGGGGCATCGACAGGCGGGGAGTGGCCCAGGGGGGGGAGGAGGGAAGCACTGGCCCCCAATCGCCCACCCATCGCCAGACGGGGCCAGGGCCTGGGTGCCCCACACCGCCCAGGAATGTGCGGTTTGGCTGTCGGAGGCTTGTCGCTGATCCATCGACCCCTCTTCCGCCCATCCGTTTTTCCTTAATTTCGGGTTCCAAGGGGTCGTTTTCGGGCCCCAGGCCATCCAACAAGGACCGTGGATGAGAAATTGTCTGGGAGTTCTGGCGCCGCAGATTGAGAAAAGAGGCACATCCTCGGATGCCTACGGGGAGGGGGCCTCCTCGGGATGGGGGTGCAGGTAGCGGAGGTCGGTCGGGTCAGCTATAGTCCCCTCCGATTCCCTCTGGCTGACTCCGGCCTGGGGCCCTCGTGGAGCCCCCCTCCTCTTCTCCATCCGCTCATTTGGGTTTGGGAGCTAGTATTAAGTCGGTTATGTCCCTCTACAGGAGGAATCTTCAAACATAGTCACAAAATAGTATGGGGATTTTTTTTGAGTATTGTTCGACCATTTGGGGCTATTTTTTGACAATTTTTCGTCCAAAATCTCCCTGTGGGGGGGCACGCCCAACCTAAAGCTGCTACATGGCCGGGCGGGGTTCGCGACATGGCCCTGGTTGACCCAGGTCGGCTCTGACCAGGGCCAGCGCATCCCCGAACGAGGGCCCCATCTGGCTGCTATGTGCCCTTCTACCTGCAGGAGGCCCTCGAAGTACTTCGAGACGAGGCGCGTCCCCTCTCCACGGAAGCCCCCTCCCGTCACGGGAGGCTGCCCCCCATCGCCCTGCTCCCTCTCTGCTCTCCGCCGAAGGTCACTCTCGCGGAGGACTTCGGGATCACGCAGGCTCCCCGCGTCTGGGGATCGCGAGCAGAATCACGACCAGCATGTCCCCCCCCCCCCCTCGGTCCCCTGGGAGCCTCACGGCTCGATGCGGCCTGAAGGGACCCGCCTTGTGACGTGTTCGAGAGGTCCAGTGTGGACCTTCGCGGAGTCGTGATCCGATTCGCGGCGTCGGATCGCAGGGGTGTCCGCCGATCGAATTCGGAGAGCCTCACCCCTGCCGTGGCTGTTGCTGAGAGCTGGCGTGGAGAGTTGGCGGCCCCCACCCCCGCATCTGACCGCGTGGGGGTCCGGGGCAGGGCCGATTCTGCATGTCCGCTCCAAGCACCCCGTGGGTTTCGAGGGCCTGCAAGAAGCAACTGCAGGGCCCCTCTCCCTCAGGGCTCAGAGGGACCAGCGCCGATCCGGGAAGTCCGCGCGGACCTGAGAGAAATCATGTTTACGCCGTCTTTCGTCCCCCTAAGACAGCGACCCGGGACGAAAAGTGCCGGCTCGGGTGAGCCTTCGGTGCGTCCCGGAGGCGCCTCCCTCGGGTCTATGAACAGAAGTCGGCCCAACCATATACTTTCGGAGTTCCGCGCGGATTTCTCGGATCGACGCTGAAGCCCTGTGGCGGCGCCTCTGGCGCCACCCCTGGCAGGGTCCACGCGCCAGCGCCGCTCCAGGAAGTCCGCGCGGAGCTCCGACAGTTCAATCATGCTCATGCAGTTGTCTGTTGGCTCCATCGGGGCGCTTCTGGGCCCATGGCGCGTGCAGGGCCTCCGCTTCGATCGGCCAGGTGGGAGACGAGCTCCTGTACCCTTAGGAGGCGCGGCAGCCCCAGCCCGCCGTGCTGCGCGTTCTGAGCGCACAGGGCGTGACCGGATCTCTCGATCCACCTCTTCCCACCGTAGCCCGTTTAGATACGCAACACGTGCCGTGCTCAAAACGTCCGTGCTAATACGTGGCGTTTTGGCTCAGCGTATGAGCCCACGTTTTGGCGAGCGCATCGCGTCAGACCCACTTTTTGAGTCTGCATTATGCGCTCCGTATCAGTACGCTGCGTGTTTTGTGTTACGTATCGGGGCAGTCAAACACTCGATCTATCTCTCCCCGCCTGGGCGACGGACGACTACACGTAAGAGGGTTCTTCGCGGGAGTGACCTTTGGTGCGGACTCACTGGGATCCCCCGATCGCTGAACGCCAAGTGGGAGCAGCAACTTGCGCGCCCGGGTTCGGTCCCCTCGCGCCCCCCAAAAAAGCCATTCACCAAAGGTCACTCTTACCCAGGGTTACTCTTGCGTGTAGTCGACTACCTGGGCGACGAAAGAACGGGTTCGACTGCGCGGACATTCGCGCGCATGAGCTGCCCGCGTGAGGTCGCGCGTGAGCGCCCTCTTCCTCCACGCGGCGTGCCGCTCTGGCGGCCGGCGTGAGCCGCGGCGCAAGTTCGCTGTGCCACTTCGCGTATGGCGCCCTTTCTTTTCGTCGCTGATCCCCCTTTCGCGTCATCCCCCTTTGCCCGCCAGCTGATTGCTCGTGGGCCTCGCCGTCACGCAACGGGGCCATTTTGGCCGGTAGTCTCGCTTTCATCTTGGCCTTCGCCCCGTCCCGCCACCGCGCCACCACGTTGTAGGTCAGAGGCCTCTGCCTGTTGGAATCTCCTGGGTGGCCGCTCGGTCGCCTCTTGGATGCAGTTTTGAAGTGTCTCGGGATTTCTCTCGGGCGTCTTGGGGGTCATGTTTTGATCCTCTTTGGGGCTCCTTGGGAGCCTGGTGGGGGTCTGCTGGCTGTCCCGGAGGTGATCTCAAGACTGGGGCCTCTCGGTCTGCTGGGGTCTGTTGGAGTCTGCTGGCGGTCTCGTGCGGTCTGCTGGCTGTCTTGGATCTGGAGGCGGAGGGATCGAAATGTCGGTTCGCATTCCCCCTCTTGAACCCTTCTCGTGTTCCCCCTCTTAGAGCCCCTCTTGGGGCACTCTTGGGCCGCTCTGATTGGGCCGCCTTGGTGGCCACGTTTTCCGTCTTGGTGCTCTATTTAAGTCGGGCATGTCCTTTCCTTCTACGGGATGAGTAACTTCAGTAAGAGTTAAAACAAATCATGTGTGGACGATTCCTTGAGCCTTTCACAATTTGTGCTGCATATTTGTGGCCACGTTTGATTTATCTTGCAGATGCCTCTAGGAGGACATGCCCGACCTAATACGGAACACCCCGCAGATGCGCATAAGATTGAGGGGGCGGTGGGGACATCGGCAGTTTACGAGACTCTGGAGAAGCCCGTCGCACGCGCCAAAGCTTTTGCACATTATACAACGAGCCCGCCGCAGGCGCCGATTTGTTCGTTAAATCTATGTGGGTAGGTCGCGGGTGGGTCGCTGTTGGGTCCCGGGTGGGTCGCGGGTGTAGAGGGCAGCAGATCCATTCCACAATAAACACACCCCGAGAAGCGAAGCTGTTTAGTAAACGCACACAAGGAATTAATCGAACAGGGCAGGGTTGTTTAGTAAACGCCCAGGGCCGTCTAGTAAACGTCAATTGTCGGGTCCGGGTGGTTTTCCCTCCTTTGAGGGTGGGTCGCGGGGTGGGTCGCGGGTGGGTCGCGGGTTGGGTCGCGAGTGGGTCGCGGATGGGTCGCGGATGGTCACGGGTTGGGTCGCGGGTGGGTCGCGGGTGGGTCGGGTGGGTCGCGGGTCGCGGGTGGTCGCGGGTGGGTCGCGCATGGTCGCGGGTGGGTCGCGGGGTGGGTCGCGGGGTGGGTCGCGGGGGTGAGTCGCGGGGTAGGTCGCGGGTGGGTCGCGCGTGGGTCGCGGGTGGGTCGCGGGGTGGGTCGCGGATGGGTCGCGGATGGGTCGCGGGTGGGTCGCGGGGTGGGTTGCGGGTGGGTCGCGGGTGGGTCTCGGGTGGGTCGCGGGGTGAGTCGCGGGGTGGGTCGCGGGTGGGTCGCGGGGTGGGTCGCGGAGTGGGTCGCGGGGTGGGTCGCGGGGTGGGTCGCGGGGTGGGTCGCGGGGTGGATCGCGGGGTGGGTCGCGGGTGGGTCGCGGGTGGGACGACGACAACAAACAACAGCGATACTTACAACAATCCTTCTAAGACCGTTCGCTCTTATTTGCACGTGTGCCATGCAAAACGAGTTCCCCCCCCACACCCTCGATACCCGCCCTTTTTGTCTTCGATCACACCCCCTTTGGGGGGATTCCTTCTCTTTGCGGGGGGCGGCGGGCTTAGACAGGCGGGCAAGCCTGAACGGGCGGACAATTTTTCGTGGGCGTACATGCGCCCGCAATTTGAATTGGTGTGGGCTCCTTGCAAAAAGAGGAGGGGGAGAACGAGGGAGAGCGGGAGGAAGGTGGGGGAGGGACGAAGGAAGAGGGAACACGCCAGGAGAGAGGGAGCGAAGAGGGGGCGGTTGATTAGAGGCGGAGACACAGAGAAAGAGAGAGAGAGAGAGAGAGAGAAAAAGACATATACGAGAGGTAGAGATAGAGAGAGGGAGAGGGGAGAGAGAGAGAGAGAGAGAGAAAGAAAGAAAGAAAGAAGGAGGGAGGAGGCAGGAGAGGGGAGGGAGAAGGGAGAAGGGAGAGGAGGGAGAGGGGATAGGGCAGAGAGGCACAAGGATGAGGGAAGAGAGGAGGGAGAGAGAAGGGAGGAGAGGAGGGAGGAGGGAGGAGGGAGATGGAGGAGGAGCAGGAAGGTAAGAGCGTGAATGTTCGAAGAAGTCCTAGGCGAAAGCGCCGTTCCTGAAGGAAGTCTCGGGCGGGAGCCCACGACGGGCGGGCGATCCCCTGACGGGCGGGTCGGGCGGGTGGGACATTTCGAGCGGCATGCTTGAGTATGGCGAGAGCGCGATTCCTAAGTAAATTGTGACGGCGTCCTTGGCGCAGCGTGTTTCCTGAGCGTCGAAAGCGCGATTTTTGAATACATTGCATGGAAGCCACATGCGAGAGCGCAAGTCCGGAATCAAATGTGAGGGGTTCTCTGGCGGGAGCGGGGGTCCTGATTAAATTGCAAAAGCAGTTTTGGTTCAATTGCGAAGAAGTCTCAAGCGGGAGCGCCGTTCCCGAGGATAGTGTAAGTAAGTCTCAGATGGGAGCGGCGGTGTTGACTTAATTGCGAGGAAGTCACAAGCGGGAGCACCGATCCAGAGTAAATTGTGAGGAAGTCTCTGGCGGGAGCGGGGGTCCTGAGTAAATTTGGAAGAAGTCACACGCGGGAGCCGCTGATGTTGTAAACCGGGGGCCAGGGGCACAGTTTGAGCAACAAGACTTTCCCTGTCAAAAAATAAGGTGCCAGCGTCGAGGGGCACACTTTGATTGAGAAGAACCGCATGCACCGGTGAGGGGGGATGAACAATAATTATTCTTCAGAAGTGAGAACTCAACAACAACAACAACAACAACAACAACAACAACAACAACAACAACAACGACGACGACGACGACGACGACGACGACGACGACAACAACGCAACAACGCAACAACGCAACAAACATATTTCTCACCGCGAATTCCGTTTTCAGCCACGCACCCAGGGACAATGAATGACCGTTCGGCCCCCTCACTCTGACTATATATGGTCCTGGGTCGAGGGTTCACAGGCCCCCCCTCCAGATGGGATGGGCCCCAGGGTTCCACAGGCCCCCCCCTGGATGAGACGCCGACGACGACGACGCAGACGCAGACGCCGCCGCCGACGACGACGGCGACGAGTCCTATCATTCGACCCCATCGCGAGGCCTTCGCGAGGCCTCCGCGAGGCTCACGGGCGTACCCATCCAGCGGGGGAGGGGGGGCTCAATCCCATATGCATCAGGGGGGAGGAGGGGGGGGCAACCATGGATCATATATTGGGCCGCCTTGGGGCCCCATTGGGAGGCCTTTTTCGCCGTCATTAGGCGATCTTGGGGTCCTCTTGGGCCTTCTTGGAGCCCGAAAAGTCGAGGGAACGCTTCGTAATCTTTCAGACGCTCGTGGAGCATCAATGACTTGGGCCTCTTGGGGCCCTCGTGGGCGGCCGGTGCGTCTTAGTGCCATCTTGGGTGTCTTGGGTAAATCTTTGGGAGACTCGGGGCGGCAGTGGTCTCCAGGGTTTCAAGATCTCACAGGCTTCTCCACGAATTCAAGATTTCGTGGATTTCCCCAGGGATCCAGGATCTCATAGGTTCCCCTGGAGGCTCCTGCGAGATCCTGCTGTGAACAAGGGTGTGCGCACCAGCGAGGCGGGAGTCCAGCCTGTGAAGGTTCCCACTTGGCCTGTGAAAGGTCCCACCTGGCCGGTGAAGACATTTTTCTCGACTCGGGGCGCTCCTGGGCAATTTGGCGGGCAACTCGCGGCCCTCTTGGGCCCCCTTGGGGCCTTCTGGCTCGGGGCAGTGTCGTGCGGGGACCCCCCGAGAGCGCCCAGGGGCGCACAGAACTCCTGGCTGTGCGCCCCTCAGAGAGGATCGATTACACGTAAGAGTGACCTTTCGCCGGAGTGACCTTTGGTGCGGGCTCAATGGGGCCCCCCGATCGCCGAACGCGATGCGGTAGTTGCGTCCCGCGCGCTCGTTTAGGTCCCCCCCCCCCGCGGCCCCCCAAAAGCCGCGCACCAAAGGTCACTCTTCCCCAGGGTCACTCTTGCGTGTAGAGGCGGCCCGGATTAGTAGGTCGACCCTGCCAGATCAAGGGCACCTTCGTGCCCTGCGTCTCGCGACCCATGCCTCCTGCATTTCTGTGGCAACGTGGCCCTCGGAAGGGTCTTGTGTCCTCTCGCGTGTCCTCTTTAATCAAGGCCGACTGTAGTCGAGAGGACCATCACATAGAGCTGTCGGGCACCCGAGGGCACTT